GATGGCTCTCAAAAAAATAGCAGCATGATAAAACTGATCAATCCTGACATTAGAGTACCATGCATTTTATTTTCATATTTTCAGTCATTTGGCTGGAGTTGTTAACCACAAGTCAGCAGTTCAAATCCACCAGCCTCTATAGATGATATCCTCTATAGAGGGAAAACTCTATAGAGTTGCCAAGGCAATTGCAGTTCCAGTCATCACATTAGTGTGTTATTAAGCACCACTGAGTTGATTCCGGTACAGTGACCCTGTACAGAGTTTCCAAAGACGGGCTGGTTATTTTGAACTGTCAACCTTGTGATTCAAATAACCTTGAAGTCCAGTACTTAACCTACAGTGCCAGCCACCAATGCTGTTGTTAAGTCTGAACCACTAACCTTGTGGTTCAAACTGACCTTCTAGCCCACAGCCCACAGAGCTACACCAGGATTCCATCACACTGGTGGTGTGTGTGCCAGGGAGTCACAGCGACACTGCATAGGGTTTCTGAGGCTGTGAATCTTTATGAGAGCAGAAAGCCACAACTTTCTCTGGCGGAAAGGCTGGTTGTTTTGAACTACTGGCCTTGAGGTTAGCAGCCCAACTCATAATCACTACGTTTCCAGAGCGCCTTAGCCATCGCATTGTTGTTGTTAAGTGTTATTGAGTCGCTTCCAACCCATAGCGACTCTGTATAGGGTTGTTGTTGTTATGTGCTGTGGAGTTGGTTCTGACTCATAGTGACCCTGTACAGGGTTTCCGAGGCTGTAAATCTTTATGGGAGCAGGAATCCTCATCTTTCTCCAGCGGAATAGCTGGCAGTTTCGAAATGCTGACTTTGAGGTTAGCAGCCCGATTCGTAACCACTATACTACCAGAGTTGTCGTTGTAAAGTGCTGTTGAGTCAGTTCTGACCCATAGCGACCCTGTATAGGGTTTTCCAGGAGCAGCTGGTGAGCTTGAACCACCGACCTTGCAGTTCAAACGGCTTTAAAATCTGGCACATTAACCCAGAGCGCCATGCTACCAGAGTTACGGGTGAGTTAATTGTTTGACCATATATGTTGTTGTTGTTA